TTTTTAAATATTAGATATACATAATTGAATTTTACAGAGCCGATTAAATGTAGCTAAAGCTGAAGATGAAGTTAGCAAACTGAAAACCAGGGTGAGAGTTTAATATATACTCTTTGGTATATATCTTCCTCTGGTTTCCTCTGGCTTACTTAACCAGTTGCTAACACTTAACACGTTTAGTTTATTAACATTTATGCAAACCTTCCACATTTAACATATTTTTTTTTTTTAATATTCACTTTTTATGTACATTCATTGCTTAATAATTTAATGTTTACTTTTAAAACATTTAGGTAGAAGAGTTGGAATGGAATGGTGCCAATAATAAAAAAGAAATTGCTGATAAACTTGTACAGTCTGGACTACACTTAAATGAATTGGATAAATGTTTATATGTTGCAAGAAGAGATAAAGAGACTTATCAAGGGATGTTACAAACATCAGAAGTAATAATTTGAACTTTTGTGTATTTTTAAGATTATAAATAAGGAATTKCTTAGAGCATTAGGATAARCTATGGCCCTTGTTTTTATTGAACAAATTAATTTATACAACATCAATTGCCAAAAGGCCTATTACACATTTAGCCTTTAGGGTTTTTGGAAGTTTTTAACTGGCGTAAAAATTATTATTTTATTTATCTTGAGTTTTTTGGGAATAATATCCATGACCAGCCAGCTGATTTGGATTTCTTGTAGTAAGCCTTGGAAAATYTATTTGTCCTTGYCATATCACTGCTTATCTGGTCTACATATTTTCCTTTATTAATCTTTTCTTTCACTCTTAATAGCCAACAGCTTTGAGAAGAGCCCTGTTACCTTTCTTCAGCTGCCTGCCTTGGTCTCTCTTTTACCGTCCCATGCATTTCTTTTGTGTTTTAGAGAATGTCTACCTTATCGACTGAGTAGGCACAGATACTCTCAAAATCTGGATAAAAYACCTGGAATACTCAGAAATCAGAATATCTGCTTCCATTAGAGGAACAAATATACATAATTTATAATTGCTAATATTTTAGGTGAAAATATTGTTTATGATGTTTCTAAAAATTAGGTTCTATATTTTTAAATGGTATGAACATCAATATTGCTATTTCTAAGAATTTTAATTTAAAAAGTTTTTTTACTTATCTGACATCAGTGAGATTAAAATAAATTGTTTCGTATACAATTATATGTAATCTCCTTCAAATATTATTGAAATATAACAAACTTAATAATTAATTCATCAATTTTCTTTGAGTATTTCCTTTTTAAGAGAACTCTACACTCACATTTGTTTTTTCAGTCTTAAAAATGCGTAACATTGTGGTAAGAACATTATTTGTGTTTTGTTGAAAGTTTTTTTTATGATAATTCAGCTTTTAAGCGAGTTATGGGTATTTAATACATTATAAAATAAAAATGCTCACTTAAAAACTGAATTATCGTAAAAAATAATAGGTCTATTCACTCTACATTTTAAGCTAAAGGAATAAGACGTGAACTCCTGAGCATAAATATGGTATGTTAGGCGTTTGTAAGACTGAGACAACAAATGCTAGTGTGGCGTCCTCTTAAAGTTCATAATATATAAATATTTTATTGAAAAAAAAAATAGATTAGGATCTAAAATTATCATATATTTAATTTCTCAGTAAAATATTTACATAAATAATTWCAAGTGAATTGATCATTTTTCGGCTAAATATATGTATATATGTTTATTTAGGAACGTTATATCAACTTGGAAAAAAAATACACAAAACTGAAAAAAATTCTCAAGGAATTTCAGCAACGTGAAACTGACCTTTTACATAGAGAAGAATATTATTTGCAGGTTTTACAAGAAAAGGACACAGAATATAATGCTTTGGTCAAAGCTCTCAAAGATCGAGTAAGAGCTTAATATAAAAATATTTATTTAAAAGTATATTAGTTTATTTAAAAAGGTATTCAGATATGAAACTTTGTTTATTGTGTGAGATACCTGTTATGGAATTCAAATTCATTATATCTAATATATCTTTTACATTTTATGCTATATGTTTATAAATTATAATAYCATATGAGTTAAAATATTTAATTTAAAATTTTGTTCTTAGGTGATACAAGTTGAACATGAATTGTTAGATACTCAACGAAGAGCTGGTTTTCCTGTCCAGCTACCTCAAAATACAACTAGCACTAGTCATTATTTAACTACTCTGACACCACTTGCCAAAAAAACAAAAGTTGGTATATTTATAAACATATTATATAATAATATAAAGGTTATATAGTGTGAAAAAACTTTTTGATGTGGCTTAGTGCGGCTACCTGATATTTTTAGCAGTGAAATCCTTGCTACACATACAATACCATACTAACCATTCCTCATATATACAGCTTAGGATCAATAAAAATAAAATATCATATTGAATTACATTTTTAGCTTTTACTTTTCTACAATTAATACGCTTTTTTGTTGAATTCTTATTTTTCAATACTGATATTTTATTAATTTTAAAAGTAGTAATGTGTATTATAATTTATACATTTATTATAGTATGATGTGAGCGTATTTATTATAACAATACTACTAGTGGTTTTTTCACTAGATAGAATAATTTTTATAAATGTGTATTTAATCTTTATTAATGCATATACTTAATTGTCTTTTATTCTGAGCAACTCTATGACATTATTTTTATTATTTTTAATGGTTTAATTTAGGTTACTCCTGTCTTGCCATTACTTCAACAACTTGGAGCTGATTTATCAGAAACAGAAGACTGCTTTGATGATGAAAAAGTTGCTACTGTTGAACGAAAATTACCCGTTAAAGAAGAGTTAGATCGTGCTGTTCCTCCACATGAACTTTTAGATGTATCTTTATCAAAGAGCAAAGCTGAACTAGCTGCCAGGGGTCTTGTTACACGGCAATTACCAACTAATGTTCTTCGTAAATCTTTATCCAATAGCAGCTTAGTTAGTATTATATTAATTTTAATTATCAATTAATATTATTCATGTGCATCAACATTTGTATTATAATGTATATTTAAACTTAAAATGTTATAATTTAGGATAACAACAATGAAGAAGTAAAACATATTGAAGACTCAATAGTTCTAGAACCTTCTGTTGAATTAAAAGATGCATCAAATGTTGAATCTATTGTTCAAGAGMAAAAACAGATGCCACAGTATGCATCTGTTCAAAAACCACCATATAATCATCAACCTGATCAATTTTTGGCTCGTATTCAACAATCAACTCATTGTCGTAATTGTAAGTGTTTGCAAACAATATACAGTATTTTTATACCTCATAAAAACATTGTGTGAATCTCCAGTAAACGGTCCTCCACCATCATTAGCTGAGCAGCTTAAGATTGTACTTGCAGAACGTGAATCACGTTTGTCAGAATCAAATAGTTTATACTCGTCTGATCATAACAGTTCAACAAGTTCCTTTGCTGATGAAATTAGAGAAGCTAGCTTAAATTGTGAGTTTAAATTTTAGGATGTTAATGAATGATTGCATAATATAAAATGTTTATATTATTTAGTGAAGAAAGCCAATACTCAGTGGCAACATACTAATCAGTTGCCTCAAAGTTCTCCATCTTCAGTATCATCATCTGAAAGTGTATCACCTGGTCATTATGCTTCTGATTTAAATAATTCCAAAGCAATTGGATCAACTGGTATACCTAATAAATAGTTAAAAAAATAGTATACAATATGATGTTATATTAAAATTATTATTTTCAGATTCAATTGACATTTGGACACCTCCTCAATCTTCAGATAGTTCAATTACTGAGAGAAAAAATTCTCATGTTTGGCATAATGCACCTGTCCATGAATGGTCTAAAGAACAAGTATGAGTTTCTTATAACTTTTCTTTATTATAATATCATTAGGGTCCATATTTATAAGTAAATACATATTTTCTCTGTGACATGATAATCTAATTTCATAAGTGATGAATTTGTTTCACAAGATTTTTTTTCTGTATACCAATTTAGATTATGGATAGATAATTAAACAACTCCCAGTTAAGTGCTACTAATAGGTGGCTTCTTATTCCAAAACACAATAAAAATTATTTGTTCTATGGCCACAATCTTATTGTGCTAAATTTTTAGTACAGATTGTATATATCTTAATATATCTTATAAAATATAATAGATAATTTTTTTTTTTTTTTTTTTAAACAAGATTTTTGTGAATGTTAGTATTTTGATTTTACATATTATATATGCCACCGGAAATGTTGACAATTTAGGAAATGACGACAATTCCTAGGAAATCATGACAATTTCTAATAGAGGAAGGAAATTTATCATTCACTAGAAGTTGTCATCATTTTCGTTCTTTATTAGACAATGTCATMMCTTATCRCTTTTTACGTGAATGCATTAGTGTTTATAATGTTGCAGGTCACATGGACCAGGTTTACAATGTAACTATTAGAATGATAACTAACTCGCAACTGTAACATGCTAAATACCATTATACTACCACTA